AAAATTGCATTACATTTGTTACCTAGTTGGCCTTTGATGTCCTCGCACCATTTATGACTGTTCTTGATGAAATCTTCACAATTTTCATAAAGTTGAGCTGGAAAACTGCCAGACTGCCAGGGAAGGTATAGATACCTACTGTAGAGACCTGAATAATACATGTGAAAACATCAATCAAATGGTTAAAATAGGCAATATCTGCATGAGCAAACAACTTTTAGACTTCACAACCTCTTCAATGTTTTATTAATTATTCAAAACAGGAAGTGCAAAAAGGGGAAAAAATGGAATTTTGTATGACAGACATATTGGCTAGGGGCAAGAAAAAGGCCAGAAACTTCTAGAAACTACTACCTGTTAGAAGGCAAGGTAATATATGCCCACTGGCAGCTTTGATTTTGAATAAAAATATTTAGCAGTACAGTAACAATCACCAGTATGAAATATTCAACCTTCAGTCATACACTTCTTTTGAACTCTTTAGGGCAATACTGAATAATATTGAGTAAGAGTTTGTTATATATTTACTTCTCAATATAATATTATGTAATAAACAAATTAACCTGTGGAATATGAATGTATAACTTTATGATGTAAATAGAAATAAACTATGTTTATATCGAGCAGTGTATAGCATGACATTTAATAATAAAGTTTACAAAATTCTACAAGTTTGAGCTTCCATCTAAATAATCTAATTCAAGCAAATATAAGTAATGTCAACTTGGAAGTTATTGTTACCTGGTTGTATGAGAGTTATATCCTCACTGAACCTCGGGTTGGTAGTAAGAGAATTCATCAAGCACAGTTTATCATGGCACAGTTATATATTGTGAGATCAAAGTTCTAATGAAAGATAAACATTGTATAATTATTGAGAATGCCTGAAATATACTAATGCTGCACTGCATATTAAAGTTTGGTTGTCACACAAAGTAGAAATATAATAATTGTTCACTTGACTGTACTAAAATTGTACCAATTTTTAAAATTAAGGAAATTGTTAGTTATGTTTTACTGGAGGTTTTCCATGGATTATCTTTATTTTCATGAGTTTCTAACCACACCCTATTATACTTTTCTATAATTCTTGTATAAATCCTATCTCTACTGCGCAATGCTTTTTCTGCTAAAATTCCTTTTTTATCATAGCTGGAAGGTCTGTCCTTATTGATTTACCCCGGGGAAGGGTATGACCATAGCTACTTGATAGAATCTGATTTTTATCTGAGAGGCGAGGAAAACTTCACAAGGAATGCTCCTGATTTTTCGAGTTTAGATTTTTAGGTTTTCACACAATTATTGAGTCTATAAATGTTTTTGATAGTTTTAGTTCATTGAGTAAATAATCTTTTACAATCTTTTCAACATTTTCGTTGTTTACCTTTTCAAATCCATAAAGAATATTATATCGTCTGCTTCTAGACTCCAAATAAAGTGACTTGTCGTCTGTATTTGTGACACATGACTCTAGTACACTGTTTTTTTTTCTTCCAAATAAGAAATGCGTCTCTCTATTGTCTGTGTAAGTTAAAAAGTTTTTTGAATTTTTTCGATATTTTTCAAGAGAATTGGAATATCAACCTCAAAATAGTACTGTTAGTCTTAGAAAGTTTTTGCGTTAATAAAAATATAATCTTTTGTAAGTTTACATTGAAACAAAACACATTTCTCTCCTAGAAATTTCAACCCAAAAAAGTTGTCCTCTGTAAAAACAAATTTTGAAGACATAATGTGCTCATGTTTATATTTTTATCAAGGCAAAGACATTCTAAGACTATCAGTACTATTTTGAAGCTGCTATTCCAATTCTCATAGAAATAATAAGAAAAAATCAAAAAACTTTTTACTTTGCTCAGACAATAGTTTTTTGTATAGATCTGATTGTTCATCTGTACATTTTTCTAGCTCAGTCAATTTATCATTATGAAATTTCAAAGCACTTATAGTTCCATTTATTTCTTGTTTTAGTAGAATTCAGATCGTCTTTTACACAGCCTATTTCCTTATTGATGTTATTTATAGAAAGTTCTACATTACCGAGACTTTTGATTAATTTGTCGTCCAGTTGTCCTATGATATCTTACATGTATTTCTTCAAGTTCTCGTTGGTAACAAGTTGACTTTGTCTTGTCTTCATTTTATTTCTGTTGTTAGAAACAAACATGGCGGACCTATTTGGTGATGAAGTATTTTGGTTATTATGATATCTTTCTCCCTCCATGTAGGGTTTCGTTCAGTTCGTGCAACTCCAATAAAGTTACTAACATTTATTCATCTGCAAAAACCTATGGCAAGCGACCATTCGACTTCACAGTCCGTTTGTAGTTGTAGTGCTTCAATAAATACGATTTAGTTATATCAACATCAATAACAGTACAACATGACATATGTGAAGTAGATTAACTGAAAGATACAAATATTGAACTTAAAACATGCTTAGAATATAAAGACCGTGTAAGAATTGAAGTTTATACACGTCCATGCTAAGCAACCGGCTTACTTATTTGACATTTACTAAAATGAAGTCTAAATATGTTTGAAACTATGACAATTAATGAATGACAGGGATTGACAAGGCTCATGTATGCAAAAGGATTCTTAAACTAAATATTTGCATTAAAATTTAAGGGTTTAGGGGATTATACAAGTCATAATTTAAAGAAAATAAGAAATAATTATGGTAAAAAATGAATTTGTCAGAGCACGATAGGAAAATTCCCATTTGACCACATTTTTTATGAAAACTTATAATACACTACAAAGTTGACCAGATAATATAAAGTTAAAATACGCGATGTTTAATTAGACGTTAATGCAGTAATATATATCATACCGATTTTGTTTCTATCCACGGCTTTTGCATAAAAAACATAAAAGCTTGCTTCGTTAAAAATATTCATATACTAGTAGACTCTTGTTTCCAGACATACTCATTTAGTCTCGTTCAAAAGTCTCATGTTATTCGTGTCACTCGATATGTGTTCGGTGCATTCCAGGTTTTGATATTTCGGGATTATTATCGCTGGAATTTACTTTCTTGCTTCTTGTATAATATTCTGTAGATTTTTGGCTTGTTGTTTGAATCTTATTGAGGTCTGTCAGAGTATTTGATGTAAAACACGGGGTCACAGCTCACTACATGCGTCCGTTCATCTCCGCTAAGTCTCACTCTCAATCAAAAATCAATATTTGAGTTAGTTTTAGACAAGATCTTATAATTACACGATAAAATAATTACTGTTTTATTTATTACAGATTGATTTAAAAATGTCAACTACAACATCTTTATTTAATGCCGTATGGAACAATGATCTATTGACTGTAAAGAGTTTGATACAGAGTGGCAGTTACGATGTTAACCTACAGGACAGTCTAGGTTTTATACCATTACATAGTGCGGTAGTCAGGAATCATGAAGACATTGTAAAGTATTTAATAGACAATGGAAACTGTAATGTTAACTTACGGGACGATCTAGGTTATACACTATTACATAGTGCGGTAGACTGGAATCATGAAGACATTGTAAAGTATTTAATAGACAATAGAAACTGTAATGTTAACTTACGGGACTATAGAGGTTATACACCATTACATATTGCGGTATTCAGGAATCATGTCGACATTGTAAAGTATTTAATAGACAATAGTAACTGTAATGTTAACTTACAGGACGGTAGAGGTTATACACCATTACATATTGCGGTAGAAATGAATCATGTCGACATTGTAAAGTATTTAATAGACAATAGTAACTGTAATGTTAACTTACAGGACGGTGAAGGTTCTACACCATTACATAGTGCGGTATTCAGGAATCATGTCGACATTGTAAAGTATTTAATAGAGAATAGTAACTGTAATGTTAACTTACAGGACGGTGAAGGTTCTACACCATTACATAATGCGGTATTCTGGAATCATGAAGACATTGTAAAGTATTTAATAGACAATAGTAACTGTAATGTTAACTTACAGGACGGTGAAGGTTCTACACCATTACATAATGCGGTATTCTGGAATCATGTCGACATTGTAAAGTATTTAATAGAGAATAGTAACTGTAATGTTAACTTACAGGACGGTGAAGGTTCTACACCATTACATAATGCGGTATTCAGGAATCATGAAGACATTGTAAAGTATTTAATAGAGAATAGAAACTGTAATGTTAACTTACAGGACAGTGAAGGTTCTACACCATTACATAATGCGGTATTCTGGAATCATGTCGACATTGTAAAGTATTTAATAGACAATAGAAACTGTAATGTTAACTTACAGGACGGTAGAGGTTATACACCATTATATATTGCGGTAATCAGGAATCATGAAGACATTGTAAAGTATTTAATAGACAATAGAAACTGTGATGTTAACTTACAGGACGGTCTAGGTTATACACCATTACATAATGCGGTAATCAGGAATAATGAAGACATTGTAAAGTATTTAATAGAGAATAGTAACTGTGATATTTATATTAAAGATAAGAACGGGTATTCACCTTTCTCCACTACGGAAGGATTACAATTTCTTTATAAAATAGCACAACGTCAGGATCTAGAATTAGTTCAAGTTTTAATCCAACATAATGTTGATGTTTTAACTAATCATGTTAATAATCAGCTTCAATTAGTTAAATATATTCTGAGTGAAAATGATTTTCAATCTCTATGTTTTTTTATTCAGAATGGTCTCTATATTAATTCTTTAACATCATCAGGTGAAAATATAGTCCATCTTTTAGCTAAATTTTATATAGATTATTTATATATAGATTTTAGTTTTTTGTTTGATTATGAATTAGATTTTGATCTTATAAATAATGATGGTAATTCACCGTTAATGGTGGCCTCACTTTTAAATAATTCACCTTTTATTCAATTTTTAGCTACTTTACCCTGTGACGTAACAAAACTAGACAAAACAATCAGGGTCATACAGCACTCCACCTTAGTGTCATCGGATTTACTTTGATAAAAGAAAAATTAAATATGATGAAAGTCAATTCAGTAGTGAAAGAGTTATGTTCCTGTGAATACTATCCCAGATATCTTAAATGTATTGATATTTTACTCAATCTTGGTGCAGACGTCAATATACAAGATAAAGGCGGGAAAACAGTTTTAATGTTGGCTTGTATGAAAAATGATAGGAAATTGGTAGAAAAACTATTAATACATGGAGCTGATGTTAATATTGTAGATAACCATGGTCGATCTGCTCTACAATACATAGATTTACCAAACAATGTTTATGATTTAACATGTTTTAATTTACTTCTATCTCATGGTTGTAAACAATCTTTTAATCAGCCATGTCTTAATGGTAACACTATTATTCAAAATGTACTCCAATTCTCACCATTATGGCAAATTGATCAAACAGTCAATATCATCAAATTTCTTGTTTATAAAAATGTCAACCTTCAACTTTTAACCTCAGATGATGGAGAAATCTCCTATGGTCAGTTATCTCTGGAGGAATTTTCTTCACAATCTAGGCATGAATTAAGGCAAATTCTGTATTTAAGTGGTGGCTCATTTATACAAATTACACAAATATTACATTTTGAAGAAGAAGAAAATTATGAAGCATCATTGCCAGAAACTTTAAGAGAAAATCCGAGAGAAAAATTCTATCTTTTCGCTAACAATCTGAGCCTTAAAGAAATTTGTAGACGAGTTATCAGACAAAATACAGGTCTAACAATTCATGATCGAATTTCAGAACTTCTGAATTTTCCAACCCTGACTGATTTTCTGATGTTTAAAGATTTTGATTCTGAACGATTTTCACTGCATGGCCAGTTAGAGTCTGTTATTGATAATGATTATGATGATGATTATGATTCCTATGATTTAAATAAGGAGAATGATGATGATGATTTGGTATTACTATCTATAAAGTATTTATTTAATGATATTGATGATATTTATTATGATGATTATGAGAATGATTATTTGGTGTATAAACATTGTAAATATTTAAATGAGGTACAAGCAGGTTTAAAATATTCAGATTCAGATTCAGATTAAGATTAAATGATTATTTGGTGTATAAAGATTGTAAATATTTAAATAAGATATCACAAGTGAGAAAAATTACATATTCATAGATAAATATTGTCCAATTGTCAAATTTAAATCAATCAAAACAAATCACTGGTTATGACGCTCTGTTTGCGAACGTAAACAAAACGAACACAGAGTGCCATTAAATATTTTGATGAATATTTACGGTACAGAATTAAATAAGATTTTTGTTAAAGAATTGAAGTCGAGAGAAAATCAAAACTTACTTTGGAATATTAACTTGGAAAGAATGTATTCTTATCTCTTCAAACTGGCGTCAGTAAAGCCATGTTGTGTTTTGTTTACATGACCTCATGACCTCTACCGATCTGATTGGTCAGATTTAAATAGCATCAATCTCATTTCCACGCCCACAAAACAAATTGAAGTGAGATTAGTTTAATATTGGTTAATAAGACCAGGTCAAAACCCGTATTCAGGTTTAAACCGTGATTCAAAATCATTTTCATTTCACGATTATTGAATAAAACAAACAATTTGAGATAAATATGAATTATAAAATGATAATTGTATTTAAGACAACCATACCTGATTTACATTTCAAAATCTGTCTAAAACTAAAAAGCGTCCTACTTGGATTTAACTTTCGAAATTTTCAACAACCACGATCTTTCCATTTTCCATTCATGTTCAGTAACATACCACAATCACCAGCTTATGGAGTGAACATTTCACAACTCATCTGCTATACTAGAGCTTGTTCTATTTATGATGATTTCCTAGTTAGAGGTCGAGTATTAACATTGAAATTGTTGAAACAAAGTTACTTGACACACAAACTTCATGTAGGAAATTTTATGATCGTTATAGAGAACTACTTGATAAATACAATAAATCTGTTTCTGGTATTTTGGCTGATTTGTTTGGTCAGGCATGAATTGATCTGGTTGTATCTCATGATTTTGACCATTGTAGTAGTGGAGGGTGTCGAGCGAAGCAGATCATGTTTACTCTTTTCGAAACACCTGATGGTACTTCTCTTTAGAGGAGTTTACTACTATACTACATTTACTCCCGATTTTGCCATTCTTTGGACGAGATTTTTGATTGACGGAATTGATTTGCTTGTATAGGTTTTTCTTATTTTGAATTATTAGAATAAAACAATATGAGAAAATCTGTATTGGGGTTTAAACTAATATTGTATTAGAGATAACCATCCCTGATGTAAATAAAACATACTATAACAGAGATTCAGATTGAAACTTCAGTCGAAATACTGGCTTAATTAATATACATATATATCATTTATATTGTATTTTACATATTCTTTTTTAATTTAGAAGAGGGGGGGGGGGGGGGGGGGCC